AAATACTTCCAAATGCTGTTCCTCGGTGTTCCTAGAGTGCCCTGTTCTTCCTGTTTGTTTTCCAGGTGAAAGGTATAGATGTCGTTCAGGGTTACCCTGACATATTCAGAGTGTGAACTCACATATTAGTGGAACTGTCGAATGCAGATGACCTCCTTCACTCTCACAAGGAGACAAGTCCCTCTGGTATTTTGGTTTTGGGCCATTCATCCCCAGTGCAGCCCAGTCTGCAGCTTCTTCCTTTGCGTCTCTCCTTTGCATTCTCATGAAACCCCTAAAAGACCACTAATTCTTCACATTAAGCCCTGTAAGTTGTCCGTGTGTCTGCCTACAGTAGACTCTGAGATGCTTGAAGAGAAATATAAAGTTGTGTTGCTTTTTACTCATCCAGCATCCAGAACAGTTCCTGAATCTTGGTGTAGAAGAAAACAAAAAATAAATGCAATGAAAAAATTTAAAAACTAGGAAATTATTGAAAAATGAATTTACAAGTAATATAAATATAATAAATCAAATTCTTCTCTGCTGTATTAACTACTTCAAATATGTTCTTGAATTTACTCCCCATTACATTTGGAATATAGCATATAATTCCCCTTTTGTCATATGAGATTACTGGGACCCAGAGAACTTCAGGACGATTTCCCATGGTATCAGGGCAGGTAAGTAACAGAATGAGTATGGATACATGCAATCTCCAGGTGTGTATGGATGATGTAAAAAGTTTCTTAGCAAAGGTTCTACAGATACATACAGTTTGCTATCTTATACAGTAAAGTTGTTATTTTAGGTCCAGGAGAAGGGTCTCAGTCTCATTCTCGCCAAGTGGCCAATCTTGGTAGTGTCCATGAAGGGGTCTCCCATTAAGTTCTTAAAACCCGAGTAACCCTACTCCATAGCCCCCTCCCCCAAACCCTCACAACAGGTTTACAATTTGGCCAGATTTTCAATAATGTTTGAGGATGCTATAGGCAGGGTGAGGAAGAGAATGCATAACTGCAGAGTCAAGACAGCCCAAGGATCACTGTTCCCTTTGCTTCTCCTCCTCTATCCCCCCACCCCCCGCCCCGGCCTCCACCCTCACCCTCACTGTACCTCACCAGCACAACCACTTTGGTGAAGGCATCAGATGCGCACGGCCACCCATTTCTCTTAGCCAGGGTCAGGAGCCCAGCAGCCAAAAAGATCACCACTAAAAAAATGAATAAATAAAACCTTACAGGGCCGGCTGAGTGGCACGTTGGTTAAGAGATGGCTTGGGACACCAGAGGGCCCTGGTGCGGATTCCACATATGAGGGCCAGTAACACTGCCCTCTACAAAAAAACAAACAAACAAACAAACCAACAAACCTTACAGGCCCGTGGAACAGGCTCCAAGGATCCACAGCCATGTACACAGTCCCGGTGCCCTCTGTATCCCACAGTGAGATGATGCTGGGCACCCAGCGAGAGCACTAGGAACCTTCGTGAAAGAGGAGGGACTCAGCCGCGAGGGCGCCACCATCTTTGTCCTGGACACCTTGGGGTACTCAGGCCTGGAGCACTACACCAGGGGCCGCCACTGAGGGGATGGTTCAATTTTAGCCTGTTCCCCACAAACCTGTGAGTTTACTGATTACTTGATAAAACCTCCAAGTGTAACACAGTCTTTACACGATTATTTTTCCCTTAACAGGCACCATCCCATGTTAATCCTGACCACCATCTCAGAGGCATGCAACCTTATTGTGCCGAATTGAAAATGAGGAAGCTTAGGATTGCAGATTCACAAAAGTGTAGGGAAACACACAGTGAGACAATAGGAACAATGGGAATCAAAGCTGGAAATTCTGATCTGGAGGTGAGACCTACTAGCAATGACATCGCAAAAACCATAAAATGGCTCTGAGACTCAATTTCCACATCTGTGAAATGGGAATGACTGTACGCCCTTTGGACTCAGATTGTGAGACTTCTGCGGTAAAAGAGATCTACCTTCTTGTTCTAGTCTTTGGACATTGGTAAAATTATTCAAGTATAAGTAATATGACAAAAGGTAAAAGCACTGAAAATATGTGTTCCCAGAAAAAGGTTTTTTTTTGTCCCAGCGTTTTCAATGGCATGTCCAATGGGTTTCTGCTCTGTTTCACGAGTTTAATTTTATCCCCACTTTAGTCTGTTAGTGCAGATGATGAATCCCTTTGTACTCTTCTCAGAGGTACCAAGGAGCTGAATACAGACATGGTTTACTGATAGACATTGGGGAAACACATAAGTGGAGACAGCACATTTCCAAGCAGTAAGGACATGAGGTGAAGGAGATTCTGGGAAGATGGTGGCAGTGGTAGCTGCATAGTTTTTCAGTCTGACCAAACAACCATATAAATATAGAGCAATTAAACAGCAAACACCAAACAAAAATGCATGCACAATGTTTGCAATAATTGCAGATTACTAGTAATCCTCCCAAATCACCTAATTTCAGTGAGTAAAGAAAAACCACCAAACCTTATTACCTCAGTCAAAAACCACAGTACAATAAAATAAAGCCAACATTTTAGTTTTATTCATCAAAAATGCATTGCAACCTGGAAAGGGGGAAATCTCATCTCAGGGGCAAAGGAGGGCCTCCTGAGAAAAAAGAGGGCCTGGAATGAAGGGCCAACAGCAGGTAAGTACTGGGTGATGGAGTCTTGGGAAGGGGAGGCTTCAAAACTCGAGACTTTGGGTGTTGGTGGACAGAAATCTTGGAAACCTCACAGGGAACCCCGGGAGAGACAGCTCATTCAGCATAGGAGGTGTAGGGGGAGAAGCGATGCTCCCTATTTCAACCTGCACCTATGGAGAAACAGGGCTCAGGGCAGCAAACTCGAGCAGCAAGTCATGCCCAATGGTACCAGGACTAGGAGTGGAGACGGAGCCAGGGTCAGAAAACTCAGGGGAAGAGGACCTCTGGCCAGAATTAGTGGGGGGCGAGGAGGAGGAAGAGGAACTCTCATCACACCACCCAGGCAAAGGAAAGTACCTACCAGGAGGTAGGGGTGAGGAGGCACGCATACGGACCGCATGCCAACACGGGGGGAAAGGAAGGCTTGGGACCTCAGGATCAGGAGAGCCTGAGCTGTTCTCCATGACACGCCTTCCTAAGGGGGACCCACGAAAAGGAGGACTCTGACCACCAGGCCCAGAGAGACAGGCTTGGCTGGTAGGGGATGATCCTCTCAGGATGGGGCGGCTCAGGCCAACAAAGCCTGGAGTGGTACCCCCGCTGTGCAGGGCGGGACTCAGCGCGGTGGCCGGGCTGCACAGGGCAGGGCCTGGCCCAACTGCACCGCTCCTGGAAGCAGGACCAGGCGCAAAGGAACAGCAGCGGAAAGCAGAAGCTGGCGCGGAAACATGGCGGCGGGGCGCAGGGCCTGGCGACGCTTCTCGGCGGTGGGATGCAGGGCCTGGTGAGGCTTCGCGGCTGCCGGTTGCACGGCCTGGCGAGGTTTCGTGGCGGCGGAACACACGGCCTGGCGAGGCTTCGCCGCAGCGGGACGGAGGGCCTGGCGCGGCTTCGCGGCGGCGGAACACACGGCCTGGCAAAGCTTCGCCGCAGCGGGACGGAGGGCCTGGCGCGGCTTCGCGGAGGCGGGACTCACGGCCTGGCGATGCTTCGCCGCCGCGGGACGGAGGGCCTGGCGCGGCTTCGCGGAGGCGGGACTCACGGCCTGGCGATGCTTCCCGGGCGCGGGACATACGGCCTGGCGCGGCTTCGCGACGGCGGAAAACACGGCCTGGCGAGGCTTCGCCGCCGCGGGACAGAGGGCCTGACGAGGCTTCGCGGCGGCGGGACGCAGGGCCTGGCGGGGACGTGCGGCTCCGGAGGGCAGGGCCTGGTGCGGAGAGCAGGCTCTGGCTTTGTAGGGCTGGGCCTGGCAGAGAGGCGCGATCACACGGAGAAGCCCGATGTGTAGGGCGGCGGCAATGGCTGCTGGGCTGAGCCATTGGAGAAGATGGCGGCAAAGTCGCAGAGGCCTCAGGTGCGGACGCCCCCCGAAATAGACAGCGCCATGAATGCTTCGGAGCCCCCGCAGCCTCTACGCCGCTGGACCGCTTCCGCCCACGGCCTTTCGCTGGGCTCCTGGTCTGGGCCGGACGCCCGCAGAGCTGGGCAGCACCGCTCGTGGCTTGCCCCGTGGCTCCTGCGCTCTCCGTGGGCGCAGTTTGGAGACTTTGTCCGGTCTCGGGCCCCACACGTCTGAGCTCCGCGAGGGGACTCTGGCTGCCCCGGTGCTCAGGGCGACCCCTTACTTGCTCACAGTCCTTGGAGGGTGACCCCGGGTCCTCCGAAATATTCAAAATGGCTCCGGGTGCGGCCAGAGCGCAGGCGGAGTCACCTTCTCTGCCAAAGCATGCGGCGCCGCCACCTAAAAGAGAGGGGTAGCTGCACACTGTGGGGACCCAGGCGCCAGGATCGAGGTTGCCGGCCTCGCCTGGTGCACGGGCGACCTCGTACTTCAGCCCTGCGGGCACCTCACCCTCCTGTGGCTTGAGCTCCTTCTCCCAACCCGACGGGGTGGCCATGATGCCAAGTTCTCCCTCAGAGACCGGAGAGCGCCACTCTGGTCGCAGCCTGGATGGAGAGAGGGAGCTGGAGGAGTGTGGGGGTGGACGAGCCCGGGCGGGCCTGGAGGAGTCTGTCTCCGCTTGATTGGTGAGCTGGAGATCACATGGCTCCTCTCCTCCCGGACAGCAGGCAACCTGACTCCTTCTGGCCCTGAGGCTGCGCGTGTGCTCCACACCCCCCACCCCACCTCCCCTCCACCGGAGACCGCTGTTCCGGGTATAAAACGTGAATCCCCCATACTTCTCTGGAGCCTGGTGTGGATGTGTTTCGAAGGAAGGGGCTTGAGCGGGAAGGATGTCTCTATAAACGCTTTCAGTTGCCCTACGTCAGTTTAGCTTGTCAGTACCACTCTGCAAGCTGAGCCTCATGCGTTGGCTTCAAAGAAATACCACGCTGGCCAACAGGAGATAGTCCCGAGCCAGGTGTCCATTCTGTAATCTGGTAAAGTCCCTGGGACCTAACATGACACAGAGGGGATGCTAGCCGAACCGCTCCGAGCATCTGGATGACCCCACAGAGGGGTCCGATTGCAGAGCAACCTGAAGGCGAGGAAAGGGGTGGGGCCCACACCGTCCTGGCTCGAGAGTTTCGGCTGAGCTGCCAGGCACCAGAGGGGAACCAGGGTTGACTTTTCCAGTGAGATCCTTCTCCGG